GCTTTCCGAAGAGCTGATGTGAAAAGGCGATAAAACCCAAAAATCTGAAAATAGAGCAAACCGACAACGCGTTGGAGGGATTACGCACTACAAGCAAAATGGAGCGGTAGTTAACCTCCTGTCACTTGTGGCCATTACTGCAAACCTAACTCGATACATGATCATTTTCGTGATCAAGCTGCTTTGCCAATACCTATCTGAGAATTTTGCACTACACTTATGCAGGAAACACCCGTTTCACAAAAATTTTGATCTTGCGCAAAAAAAAAGCTGAAAAGAGAGATAAGAAGCAGTAATAGCACATACCTGTTTCCTATTATCCAGTACTGGAACATGGCTTTTAGACCTGAAAGCCTGAAAAGGGGCCTCGGGGGATTTTTGTGTCCGTTACGACCAGAGTAGCATTTTTGCTGCTCTTGACGACACACCTATCAAGTCTTAATGAAGGATCGTTCGGCGATTCAATCAGATGACGCTCCTCAGCGATAAACTCGGACCGATCATCTTGAGGGTAAATTCGGGAAGCATAGCCAAAGACCAGCAGATCTTCATCCTGACAACATGAAATTAGATTATGCTTAAACAAACATATAAGTAGAACTCACTGCTGTCATTTCCATACGCTATCTGTCTAGTGGATAGATTATAGAAATCCCAACTGCAATTCCAAATAAGTGTATCCTGAATTATTTCAATTACCTTAACACTACACAACAGCAAATGAACAAATCGCAGTGCAAGGAGAGACTGAGTTGTAAAAAAACTTGGGGCGGCCGATCTCAATTCCCACAGCCGCGTTGCGGGAGCGCAGCAGGAGCCATGAATTGGAGCAAAGAAACTACCATACTGTAATATTAATGGAGGCTATTTTTGTGACAGGCTTTCATCATGCGATTTAATCATCTTTACATTAAATGTTAGCGGTGAGGTCCAGTAAACGGCAGCACAGCCAACGGCCGGATCGCAATGTAACGCCGTGGAGCAACTAGGGCAACTATTTACAGCTGCATCGATCTCTTTTTTTGTATA